TCATGTTTTGGTCAAATACAATTATAAATTTCCAGGCCCTTCTTGTTTCCTGTAGGACTTGGGTCAAGATACTTTACATGTGTAATAATACAACTTTAAAATGACTGTTGTAAGAATAATAGCGTCATGTAAATATACTTCTGAAAGCTAGAGGTTTAAGTTAAACATCCATGACAATTGAGTTGCCAGACTGTATATTTTTGTCATTATAATGATTTGTAAAATAACCATCAAATTCACAGGCATGTGGGCAAGCAATTCTTCAAATACTTTCATGAAAAACCCAAGGGAACACACACACACACACACACACACACGCGCGCGCGCGCGTACACACACACACACATCAAATTTCTATTTCCTACATAATTTTGAATAGTGTTTATATTAATTGTATCTATCTTGATTGTAAATGTGATGTTAGGAAACATTGTTGAGATGTGTAAGTCAAGGTCAATAAGAAGGTGTTCTTTTATGTGGTTTAGCCATGAGCCACAGCTTGAGGGCTCACCCTTCTACCGCTAATGAGTCTTCTCTCGATTATCCTCTAAAGCTGTAAGGTTCTAAACCTTTGAACTTCTGGGGAGGGGGTGGGGAGGTTTTTTGTGCTTTCGTGTTTGCCCTTTTGTTTGGGGAACTGGTCCTCACCAGCATTTCCTAACAAATAGAGTCCCTGTTGTACTCTGGCTGTTAGATTGGGAGCCATTAATAATTGGCAATTTGTAGCTGTCATAATGATGCAGGGGATTTTCCAGATGGCTTTTCCCTTTCTCTTGAGAGGGACTAAGACTTCTGTTTATTCTTTTTGATGGGGTTTTAATCAAACAGACATTGGTCTTGGCCCTTGACCCTGGTAGGGACAGGACCTGGCTGTCTCATCTCTGGTCAGGGGACAGGCTCACATGCTTCTCAGAGCTCTGGCTTTCTGATAAAGGGACAACTTCAGGAGGGTGGGAGTAAGGTGTATTAGGATGGAGGTGGTAGAACTATTGGGGTGTTGCAATTGTAAAGTTGAAAAGGAAAAAAGAAGGAAAGAAATGCCCATTTTATTTTTTAAAATGATGAAACCAGTTGTTGAGGGAACAAAAAGTAGGAAGATGAGAATATCATGTTTCTTTTGGGCCTATCTTTACACTACTCGCAGGCAAGGTACTTAAGACAAAAATTTTTTTGAATGTCTATTTATTTATCTTGCACGTGCCTGAGCAGAGAAGGGGAAGAGAGACAGGGAGAGACAGAATCCCAAGCAGGCTCCTTGCTGCCAGCACAGAGCCCGATGTGGGGCTCCGTCCCAGGAACTCCAAGACAAGTTTAAATTTGGAACAAAGCTGGTAGTTTCTGCTATGGAGTTTTATAGCAGGTAACCTTCTTAGCTCTTACTTTGTTCTCCTTCTTGTCCAACCACAGCTCCCACCCAACCTTAAGAAAAAAAAAAAGGGCTGCCTAGGTGGCTCAGTCAGTTGAGCGTAGGACTCTTGGTTTCTGCTCAGGTCATGATCCCATAGGCGTGAGATTGAACCCTGTGTGGGGCTCTGAGCTGACAGTGTGGAGCCTAATTGGGATTCTTTCTCTCTCTTTCTGCCCCTCTCCCTAGCTTGTGCTCCCTCTCTCTCTCTATAAAATAAGAAGAAAAGAAAAAAAAAAGGGAATTTACCGTCAAGTTTTATAGTTGATGTTACCTGAGCAGCATTATGCCTGAGTGGGGAAAGTGGTAGTTGGGAAGTGTCTTTCCTGTGAAACCGATGAATGTTCCAGTGTCAAGCTTCCTTCTGCCTCATAGTTCTTGTGCGTGGGCTGCCCTTTGACCCCGATCCTGTTCTCTGTGCCATCACCGAGGTCTCTGCTTAAACATGACCTCCTTGCCTACTTTCCCTGACCGGGTCCATCTGAATAAGATCCTCCCCTCCCTGCCCTGCTTCCTTCTTCTCGTGGCCCTCATCACCCCCTGGGTAACTGCTTATTGTCTGCCTCTCCCCCAAGAAAGAAAGCTCTAGGAGGGCAGGGCCTATCTCCTACCGCTACATCCTACCTGGTGGAGCTTCACCTTAGGCTCTGCATGTACAACCTGGGCCTATAAAAACACAGCTCTGCCTTGCTTGTGGCATTATCATAGGTGCTGAATTCTGTGCTGTATAGCTGTTCACGTTACATTTCCTTTTTTTAAAAAAAGTTATTTATTTATTTATTTTGAGAGAGAGAGAGAGAGAGCATGCATGAGCCGGCGGGGGGTGGGGGGGGGTGGGGAGAGAGAGAGAGAGAGAGAGAGAGAGAGAGAGAGAGACAGAATCCCAAGCAGGCTCTGCTCTGTCAGCACAGAGCCCAATGCGGGGCTCAAACTCACAAACCATGAGGTCATGACCTGAGCCGAAATCAAGTCAGATGCTTAACCAACTAGGCCACCCAGGCTCCCCCACATTATAACATTTCTGAAATCAGGATACACATTAAAAATTTATACTTAATTAGTGGATGCCACCCATCAAAGTTACTACTAAATTAATGTACATCTTGTAACTAAATGTGCCTTAGAATCAAGGAAACTGTTGTAGACAGAATGCCCCCCTCACCACCCCATGCTGCACCCCAGAGATGTCCATGTCTTAATCCTTGAAGCCTGTGAATATGCTACCTTACATGGCAAAAGGGACTTTGCAGATGTGATTCAGTGAAGGATTTTAACATAGATTATCCTGGACTATCCAGGTAGGCCCAATGGAATCATAATCATCTTTATGAGAGGGAGGCAGGAAGGTCAAAGTCAGAGAGGAAGATTTCACTATGGAAGCAGCAGTTTTAGTGCTTACAGGACTTCAAGTAGGAATGCAGACTCTAGAAGCTGGAAAAGGCAAGGAAAGGGATTCTCCTAGAGCCTCCAGAAGGAACACAGCCCTGCCAACCATTTTATACTTCCATCTCCAGAACCATAAGATAATAGATTTGTATTGTTTTCAGCCACTAAACTTGTGTTGACTTGCTCTAGCAGCCATTGGAAACCAATACAGGCATGTTATTATAGACAATAACATGTGTTATATTCTGGAAATTTTTGATGTCCAGCTTTGTAATCTTCTTGGGCATTGCTAAACATATGTCACGGACTCTGTCTTTCTGGTAAGACAATGTCATTGATATTTCAGGATCTAGACAGGGTGCAGTTGTTGAATCTTTTGATGCCATTTCACAGATATTGTCAGTGTTCCACCCATATCTCTTTGACCTACTCCAGATGTCAGCTATAGATAGTTCTTATATTAGAATGACCAGTCATCTCAGTTTGCTAGGACTTAGGGGATTCCCAGGACACAAGACTTTCAGTGCTAAAGCCAGGAAATTCCTGTGCAAGGCAGATGGGTTGTTCACTCTACCTCTACATGGGATGTCTACCTGCATGTGTTGAAGACATTCTCTGGCCATAGGCCCCTCCTCATCTTCATACATGGTAGAAATTAACACTACAGAAGCATCCTACAAATAACAAGGGGTGAGAATTGATGGATATGTGTCCAGCTTCCCTGCCTGTCTGTGGCAACATTCCGAGGCATATTTCATGCAGTCACCTAGAGGGCCCCCTCTGGGATTGAGCCTGAATTGTCTACTGTGCTCATTAGTGACACTCTTATTGACTTGTCTTGCTACCTTATCTTCAGCCCTCACCAAGCTTCCTGGACTATTTCCCAAATAAACTTTTTATACCCAGTCCTTGCCTCAGGATCTCCTTTTGGATGAGCTCAAACTGGAACATTACCCTAGGCTCAATCATCTTATGTGATAAAGTCCCAAATCCTTCACATGGTCCCAAACATCTGGACTCTGTCTTCCCCTCTAGCTTCATCCCTGCTGCCCTCGCTCTTGCTCACCCATATCCAACCACATTAGCCCGTAATCAGAATCTAATCTGTTACAAATTCCTTCCTCACATAGGTCATTCGCACTAGCTCCTCCTGCTTGAATGCTCCACCAAAGTTGTGTTCATTCTTTAGGTCCTCAATCAAATGTCACTTCCTCATGGAAGTTTCCCTGGCCCTCCAGACGATGCATGTTCTCCCTGACCCTCCTGCACTTTTCCCTCATGGCACTTACTACAGATAAAATGAGTTCATTATTTTATTGGAGGATGATTATTTGTTTATGTGGGTCTTGCAAAGGACTCGAGCCCACTAAGATTATACGGTGTGGATGTAAGGGAGGGCTTGTGGGGGGATCACAGGAAGAAGTGTCAGTGTCGTACATGTGTCCCTGTCCTCTGGCCAGCTAGCTGATGTGTTCTGGGTGAGGCATAGTTGGACAAATCGTGGTAAGTGCTCTAGGAGAAGGGCCCTGCTCTTTATCACTGTACATATTTACAAGGTAACTTGGAGGAGACAGGGGACATCTAGTCAACGTGTGACAGGGGAAGCTTCCTGGACAGAGAGATGGCCTAATTACACCAGAGCTTAGAACTCTCAGCCCAATTTTTAAATGGAAAGCCCTATCCATTAAAAAAAAAAAAAAAAAAAAGAAATTGAGGCCATTCTTTTACTATAAGTATATTTATTGATAGGTTTATACACGTAACACTGTCAAGCTAAATGTCAAATGGTAGAGAAGCTAAATTTCTTTTTTTTGACAATCATAAACAAAACAAAATAAACAAACATAGAGATACAAATTTAAAAATAGAAGTTGTAAAATTTCTTTGCACACCCTATAGGTCATTTTGTGTGGGCCCTGAGGTGCACCCACCTCTCAGTGGAAATTACTGCTCTAGCACAGTGCTTTCCTGAGCAGAGTCTGATATGGTAGGCCTGGGTGGCGCCTGGGATGCTGCATTTCCAACTAGCTCCCAGGTGATGTCAGTGGACTTGGTTTGTGAACCATACTTTGAGTAACCTTGCTCTAAAGCGTCTTGTCATCCAAATATTCATAAGCCACTGAGCTTTAGATGCCCAGGTTAAAAGAGGAATGTGACATATTCTGTTATTTTGGAATGATTTTCTTGTCTCATGCTTTGCTATTTCCAGGCAGAATCAGCGGAACGTGTGTGACCTTCACTGCATTGTTGAATGATTGCCCATCAGAAAATACAAAGAGTAAAAGACTACTGGGCAAGGTAAAAGTTTGTTGACTTTATTTCTCCTGGCCTTTAAAATCTAATTATCTGTTCCTGTTCCTGCAAAAATATGGCAAAAACGAGCCCATAAACAGGCTCCCTGCTGGATGCTTTTCATGTGCCATTTCAATTCATATGTGTCTTTAATGGCAGAAGCCTGTCTGAATACAAAGACATTCACTATGTGTGCATGTGTGTGTGGGTGTGAGGGAGAGAGAGAGAGAGAGAGACAGACAGACAGACAGACAGACTGACTTGGCCTTCTCTCCTGACCCTCTCTACCAGACCTGTTGTGAGGGATAGGGCAAATCATTCAGGCTACGTGTGTGTGCTCAAGGATGCAGTGAGGATTTCCCAGCTAGTGACAGACTCTGAGTGATTTGTAGGCGTTTGTGTGCTGATTGTCTTGCCCTCTAGGCATGAGCTGTGTTGTATCAGGAGGGCAAGAGGGTTCCAATAGATTTAATATTCCTTGTATGAGCTTCAACCATCTGCCCGTCAGCTCTCAGTGTGAGCATAATATATGTTTCCAGAATAAAACACAAAGCTTCCTTTTTTCCCTCTTTGCCCCCCACCTCTTTCAGACTTTTTTCAGTTTGGATCATTTGTGTTTTCCTTCTCTTTTACGGTAGGTTACTAAGGTCACCCTCTCTACAATTATATTTACTTTTCCTTTGTTTTCTGATGCCTCTGGCATGTTTTAATAAATGGTTTACCTTTTCCTGATCACCATGTACCCTCTACAGAACTGTATCCTTGAAATTAATAAGGATCTGTGAACTCTTCTGATGCGTGCATGAGGTGGCTGGGGTTAAACTGTAGCCATTCCCAATGGGTGTAGATTAGACCCTTGACATCTACAGATTTTTCCCTGGCTAAATCTGAATGCTGTTTTCCTGAGGGATGAAACTTTAACCTTTTTCCTCCTTTGCGGGAGATCTTGTGACTGTTGATGGGCCTATCCTAGTAGCTATAGCTCATTGCAGGACTAAAGTTATTTGGCGATTGGGTGTCTTTGACCCAGAACCCTTGTGTCATTTAAGGTAATTGGCAAATGGGAATCTTAAACTCTGAAATGGATGAAAATAAGTTAATCCAATCAAAGCAAGTTCTTAACTTAAAATCTCACTTAAATTGGAGAAATTTAGTGGGAGATTTAGAAAGGTTTTTTTTTTTTTCAACGTTTATTTATTTATTTTTTTTGGGGGGACAGAGAGAGACAGAGCATAAACGGGGGAGGGGCAGAGAGAGAGGGAGACACAGAATCGGAAACAGGCTCCAGGCTCTGAGCCATCAGCCCAGAGCCTGACGCGGGGCTCGAACTCCCGGACCGCGAGATCGTGACCTGGCTGAAGTCGGACGCTTAACCGACTGTGCCACCCAGGCGCCCCAGAAAGGTTTTTAATTTATATGCAAGTTGGGTAGGAAACCTACTGGGACTCTCCTTGCTTTGCCCAGCAAGCAAATGTCAGGCAGGGGTAACTAACAGAAAGTGAACTTGGAATATTCTCTTGTGCAGGCTTGAGGGCTCTGGGGTCAAAATTCTTCAGTTATGCTCATTTTTATTTAGTCAGAAAAATGTGCATGTTTTTGGATGAGACAGTGTATATTTAAAAACTCCTTCCTCTTTAAACTCATTTCACATTTGGCTTTTCCTACAGGGGGAGCTGAAAGAGGCCAATCCCTTGCCGCTCTTCTAGTCTAATGATGATGGGATGTAGGGAAGGTTGTGGGCTCTGGAGGGCTGCCTGGATGCCTGGCCAGGCTACATCTCTTTCTAGCTATGTGACCTTGGGAAGGTAATAAACATCGCTGCTGTAGTTTCCTCATTTGTAAAGTAGGGACTATGATTGTGTTACCCGAAGGAGTTGATAAGATGATCAAATATAAAAATGTATAAGAATATATGCAAAGTGCTCAGCACAATGCCTCTCCTATATTGCCACGTTGGTTATTGTTACTGTTATTACCACGGAAATGGAAGTTGGAGAAAAATGGACGTGTGGATTCCACATCATGACTTGTGCTGCTTGGCTGTGGAAAATGTCTGAAACACACCTCTGCCCACGGAGAATTGAGAAGTTGGGGCTGATAGGGGAACAAACAAAGAAGATAGAAATGATATTTTTTCAAAAAGCTTTGGTTTAAATTTGTGGCTGCTATAGAACTCATGGAAGTGTGCGGTTGGATGGGAACCATCCCTTCCTTTCAGGTTGGCACAGGATTAGTTTTGTCCTTCTTCCTCTCAAACCCCAGGTGTTAAGATTTGGTCTGACTTTGAGTTGTTTTTGAACTTGTGGGACTGATGGAGTCCTAGGGATGACCCTGTCCAGAGCTCTTTACTCTTGCTGAGTGTCTAATGCAGAGCAGATCTGGGCCTCTGTGGATAGTTAGAACTGAACCAGCCTTTAGCGGGATGGTGTGCTTCTGGCCAGAGCTGACAGCCTGTCTGTTCCTTTGTCCCATCTGTCTTTCATGGGGACTTTCATAGATGTAGGCCACACTGGTTAAGATGGTGGACCAGTCCTGGGAGGGTGTGAAGCGATGAAATGCCAAAATAGCATTTACCTCCATTTGGATCTTCAGCTTTCTAGCTAATCCCATAGAGGGTACTTTCCTTGTGGAAGACCCAGGTGATCACAGGTTTAGCTCTATCCCTACAGCAGCCCTGCTCTTTAGCATCGGCTCCCTTTCTCTGCTCCATTGTTTGTGGGCTTTGTGGCCACCATGCTCCTGGGTGGTGCCATGGTCCTGGCCCTGATGTTCCTCTGCCTAGTGTTAGCTACAATGCTACTTGCTGCTGCCCATTGATGCACTTGGCACCCAGGCTCCATATTGGTGCCCCACTTCTTTCTGAAGTGAACTTTGGTTCTCTACCCTTGAGCCAAATGGTTCCTAAGGGTATGGTGTAGCCTTGATGTACTGTGGGTTTTGTCACTGTTATGCAATATCAGTCTTCTTATTGTCACTGGTGTTGTTTGGGGCATTACCACTGTCACTGGCACCATGATGAGCTAGACCTTTCCCACAAGCACAGTGACTCTTATATTAAGCCCCAAATGGAAGGGGGTGGGGGGGGAGATGTAGCTTCTTCTCTTAGTTTCTTATCATACCTATAATATTGTAATTTTCCCATTTATTGATTCAATTTCTCCAGGCTACACCTCTCTCAAGAGTCATAGTACAAGTTCCCTGCAGGGCTGAGTTGGAAGCTGATTGATATCACACTGAATGACTTCACCCCTTCAACAGCTTAACTTCCTTTTGTGTTGAGCATCAGCCAAATATATTGACATAACCTTGAATCTTTCCTGTGTTAGAATATGCCACCCTCCCATCTTAGACACCCAGGGCAGGGCTGGGAAAGCCAGAGTATTTCTTTGCTCATTGAAGAGCCTCTGGCCACCAGCTTCAAGTATTCTGCAGAGATTCTCTCAGGGAGTCCCATTACAGCTTTGTAAACAAATAAACCCTAGCAGCTGAGCCAGGACTAAAACCCCAAATTCCTGCATCAGGAGAGTAGGCTTGGCTGTGATGTGGGAGTGGTACTTCAAGGACATGATGCTGAGCTCTTTTCCCTTCCTCCAACACATACATACAATCTCTCTCTCCCTTTTCTTTTCTTCTGTTTTGCACCTAGCTCAAAGAAAAATGCTATTTTTCAGGGAAAATCTCCTCCCTGGCATGATTTAGAGAAGGTGTAGAGTTTCACACAATGGGCACTGAGTAAATGACTTAGTGGAGCTTGTGGGCTATCAGGAGATTTAGAATCTGGGCCCTGCTCTGCCAATATACTAGCTGTGTAAACTGGGGCAAAAGCCTTAACCTCTCTGTGCCTCTGATTCTGTAGAGTGGAGTGGGGGGAAGGAGAAGTGGTGGATTGGACTAAATTCTTAAAAACACTCTCTTTTTGAGGGAAATGAGCTTCTAGCAGCTAGTGAGGGAAAAGGCCTAGTGTGTATCAGGCTTTTCCTCCCCTTCTTGTTGGCAGAATGGGGGCCCGGACAGAAGCCACATACTTGCTTGTTGTACCAAGAAAGAAGTGAGGCAAATACGAAGTTTAAATCAATAACATTACTTGAGCACAGAAGATGGAACTGTTTTCTTCCAAATTGTTTTGATTGCGGCCAGTACCTGCTGTTTGGTATGAAATCCATTCAGATCATCAAAAACCCAAGGAACATACAGTGCATGAAAAGATGTTGTAATTGGCACCATTGTAACTCTGTACGGTGTGTGATCTTAGTGCGAGGAGGGAGGATTGTGGGAAAACTTGTAATCTAATTTTCTTTGTTGTAAAATAGAATGTTACCATTGTATTCCTGTGGAATAATAATTATAACATCTCAGACAAATAGAGCGTCTTTCTCAGGAGGTGCTTAAAGAGCTCAGTAGACCTTCAGTCAGCCTTGTAAACACAGTGAAACCTGGCTTGCTTGCATTTCTCTCGACTGAAAATTCCTATTAGACAGCATCTCCCCTCATCCATCCTACTGGGATAAATGATTTTTATGCTGGCGAGGCTGACACCCCGAGAGACACTGAAGTGCCTTCTGCATCATCAAAGAATTATGAAACCTTCAGTAGTGTTTCACTGTTAATTGCAATTGATGACAGCCTAATTTTTTGAAAAGCGGTAATTCATGTGTTGCATAGATGATAATTAGTCAGAATAGTTGATTAATCAGACTGCTCTGTTTTTTGACCATACTGAAGTACAGTATTTACAGTAACTGCAATACCGGCTCTCCCTGAGAGCCACGAAGGAAGCAGGATGAATTAAAGTAGCATTCTTTCTTTTATTATTATTTGTTTAATTGAAGTATAGCTGATATACAGCATTATGTTAGTTTCAGGTGTACAACATAATGATTCGATATTTGTCTATATTGTGAAATGATCACCCATGATAAGTCTAGTTAACATTCAGCACCACACTAGGTACAGAAATTTTTTCCCTTGTGATGAGAACCTTTAAAATTTATTCTCTCTTAGCAACTTTCAAATATTCAATACAGTATTCTCAACCATAGTTGCCATGCTGTACATTACATCCTCATGACTTGTTTTCTTTATAGCTATAATTTTGTACATTTTGACCCCCTTCCCCATTTTTCCAACTGCCCCCCCCATGCCCTCTGGCAACCACCAATCTGTTCTCTGTACCTATGAACTTTTTTTTTTTAAGATTCTACATGTAAGTGGATCATACAGTATTTGTCTTTCTCTGTCTTATTTCATTTAGCATAATGCCCTCAAGGTTTATCCATGTTGTCTGAAATGGCAAGATTTCATTCTTTTTTTTTTTTAATGCTTTTTATTTATTTAAGAGAGAGAAAACGCATGTGTGCACAAACCAGGGAGGAGCAGAGAGAGAGAGGGTGAGAGCGAGAATCCCAAGCAGGCTCTGTGCTGTTAGCACAAAGCTCAAATCGGGGCTGGATCTCATGAACCATGAGATCATGTGAGCTGAAATCAAGAGTTGTATGCTTAACCACCTGAGCCACCCAGGCACCCCAAGATTTCATTCTTTTTTTATGGCTGAATAATATCCCTCTGTGTGTGTGCTTTATTCTTCGACTTCTACATTAGTTTCTAAACTAAATGAGAAGAGAAAATAGATAAGTTATAAAAATAGATTATATGTGCTGCTTATGACTTTGCCATCCTTAGGGTCATGGCTATTATTGATAACTAGACTGTTAGCTCTTACAGTAAAAGTGAGTGTCTTTAAAATTGAATTTTAGGGGTGCCTGGGTGGCGCAGTCGGTTAGGTGTCTGACTTCAGCCAGGTCACGATCTCGCGGTCCGTGAGTTTGAGCCCCGTGTCAGGCTCTGGGCTGATGGCTCGGAGCCAGGAGCCTGTTTCGGATTCTGTGTCCGCCTCTCTCTCTGCCCCTCCCCCGTTCATGCTCTGTCTCTCTCTGTCCCAAAAATAAATAAACGTTGAAAAAAAAAATAAAATTGAATTTTAGGGGCACCCAGGTGGCTCAGTCAGTTAAGCGTCCGACTTCGGCTTTAGGTCGTGATCTCACTGCTCCTGAGTTGGAGCCCTGCATCGGGCTCTGTGCTGACAGCTCAGAGCCTGGAGTCTGCTTCGGATTCTGTATCTCCCTCTCTGCCGCTCCCCTGCTCGTGCTCTGTCTCTGTCTCAAAAATAAATAAACATTAAAAAATTTTTTTAAAAAATTGAATTTTGGGGGCGCCTGGGTGGCTCAGTTGGTTAAGCATCTGACTTCGGCTCAGGTCATGATCTCACGGTTCGTGCTGTGCTGACAGCTCAGAGCCTGGAGCCTGTTTCAGATTCTGTGTCTCCCTCTCTCTCTGCCCCTCCCCCACTCATGCTCTGTCTCTGTCTCAAAAATAAATAAACATTAAAACATTTTTTTTTAAATTGAATTTTGGATGATATTTTGTAGAGCCTCTTCACAAATTCCTTAAGCAAAGTATCAATGCAGTGTATTTAGCTAATTGGTCCACTGCAAATGTTTTATTAAAGGAATAAGATATTGTTTTTAAGTTTATTTATTTTGAGGTGGGGAGAGGGGCAGAGAGAGAGGGAGAGAGAATTCCAGGCAGCCTTGTTGCTGTCAGCTCAGAGCCCAATGCCAGGCTGGATCTCATGAACTGTGAAATCATGACTGAGCCAAAATAAAGAGTAGGACGCTTAACCAACAGCCACCCAGGTGCCCCTTAAAGGGGTAAGATCTTAAATCAGTTAAGATTAACTTGAAAATTTTTTTAAATGTCCAAGTTCTTCATGATGAGATCTTAAAAAAAAAAAAAAAAGTATTAGAATTGATGTTGTACTCAGGTTCACTGCAAAGAATGAAAAATTCAGGAATGTATAAAGAAGAAAATAAACATAATCTATTATTTTATCACCCTGAGAGAACTATTATTGCCTTTTGGTATATCTCCTTCCATTTTCTTCTGAGGTATACATGTAAACATTTTACTAAGTTAGCACATACTGCATGTACTGAATGCTGTCCCCCATCCACATTATATAAAGGACATTTTCTAAGTCAGTAAATATTTTCTAAAAATATACTTTATGCTGACTATATATTTATGAATCATAATCTGTCAAACAAATCTCCTGTTGTCAGGTTTAGCAGGTTTACAAATTTTGGCTTTATAATGCTGCAACAAATATCTTTACTCATTTATTTGTCCATCCATCCATTCATTCAATCAACTTTTATTAAGTAGTGGGTGCCAGGCTGTGGTCCATGAGTTGAGGATATATCATTAATCATAACCTTTCTGATAATGTTTATTACTATTACTAACTATTGACCAGGTACTTTATTAGTATTAGTATGTTAATTATTGTGTCTGGAATTTTCGCTGTAAGCATCTTTGCTGTAGATGTCTTTGCTGCAAGCATCATCACTGAAAACATTTTTTGCCATATAACTAATTGGCCATAAGGCAATTTTGCCATAAAAGATAAAAAAAAAAACTGGTTGACAGCTTGGTTTGATTTCTTCATTGACACAGTACTCTCATTTTTATATTATATAAACCTTAGCCTTCATAATGGTCTATACAGTGGTGTGGAGTTTTGAACCCACATGTCCCACAGTTTAGGAGCATCTATCAGCGGACATGTGATAATAAACCAAGAATAAACAACCAAATACAAAGCCTAGTTACCAATGTGCATCCTAGTGTTTGGAAAACTGGCATCTCTCTCAGTGAAAGAAGAAATTTTAGCAAATGAAGAAAGAGTGTGATGCTGAATGAGAAGATGAATCAATAAGCAAAAAAAGTGTATAATATTGTGAATGAAATACTTTGGAGAAAGTGGTTAGATACAATACACAAAAATTAATTATTTGCATGGTATTGCCATGAATCTACACTATACATTTTGAATGTATTAAAATATTTTGTATTTTGCAATTAAGTCTTTTTTCTTAATTTTTAAAAAATGTTTATATTTGAGAGAGAGAGAGCAAGAAAAGGGGAGGGGTAGAGAGAGAGGGAGACACAGAATCTGAAGCAGGCTCTAGGCTCTAAGCTGTCAGCACAGAGCCTGATGCAGGGCTCGAACCCACAAACTGTGAGATCATGACCCGAGCGAAAGTTGGACACCTAACTGACTGAGCCACCCAGGTGCCCCTTCAGTGAAGTCTTTTTAATTTTGTTATCCTTTTCCGTGTTTTATTATATCCTCTTTAATGAATGCTCCTCTTGTATTTTTCATGATTTTTATCTTTATGGCAATATTGCCTCATGGCCACTTGGTTATGCAGCAAAAATGCTTGTGGTAAAGTTGCTTACAGTGAAACTATGTAGAACCATTAGTTATATGAATGTATGTTAGTATAATAATCATTGTAATAAGTTAGTCTAGTAGTAGTAATGAATTAAATTCTTATGAGGTGGGTGTTATCATCCCTATTTTCCAGATAAGGAAATGGAGGCTTAAAGAATGGAAGTACTTGCCGGTCATCACTCAGCTGGTCCTTGACAGAGCTAGGGTTCAAACTTAGGCAGGCTGACTCAAGTCCTGCTCTTTTAAGCATGACGGGGACTGTGTCAGTAAAAACGACACTTGCTCCAATGGCCATGAAACGATTTTAAATGCAATACTCTCTGAGTGATTCTCTGGTTATTTTTTAGGATAAATTCTAGAAATTGAAATACTGAGTCCAAGAGTATGAACAACCCTTCAAGGTCCTAAATGGGGGAGGACCAGAGCTGGTTATTTATTTATTTATTTATTTATTTATTTATTTATTTATTTATTGTCCTGGGTATCTGCCGTCATGCTACTAGCTAGGTAGACAGCAGGTAATAGGTGTGGTAATGATTCAGGGCCTGGGCAGGCCCTGGAGAAAGGCTGGGCAGTGCTCTTGCTATCGAGGCAGGGTCGGTGGGACTGCCCCTTAGAAATGTTTATTTCCTCTTGATGCACTGTGGCAGAGGGGAGGCGACATGGAGAGGAAGAGTTCATCAAAGCGGTGAGTCTAGACCACAAGTGAAATGTATAGCCTTTTAAGACGAATATCATCACAAGAAAATGCCTCTGCTCACTAAAAACCACCAGTTCAGCTAAAGACTTTCTTGATGTAGTGTAGCTTCCCTTGCGCTACACCGTAAGTTACTCACATACAGCAAATGACTATCTGTAAATATTCCTTCTGCCCCCTCATTACTGCCACATTCTCCCTCAAGTCCCCCTTCCCCAGATGAACATTACCTGTCCTTTGCCAGCTTTCTGTGATGCAGTATCACATAATAGCAAAAGCACAGACTTGATTGGCCACTGTCCTAGTCTGATTCCTGTCTGTGCCCTGTAGGTTGGACAATCTTTTCTTCTTAAAATTGAAGTATCTTTGATACACAATGCTACGTTAGTTTCATGTGTACAACGCAGTGATTTGACGTGTGTATATGTTATACTATGTTTACCACGAGTGTAGCTACCGTGTGTTATCATGTAACACTGCTTCAATACCATTGACTATTTATATCCTCTGTATTGTACCTTTTATTCCTCTGGCTTATTCACTCCATAACTGGAAGCCTGCATATCCCACTCCTCTTCGTTCATTTTGCCATCCTTTGGCAACCATCAGTTTGTTCTTGATCTGTTTGTGCTTTTTGTCAGTTCATTCATTTTTTTTTTTTTTTTAGATTCTGCATATAAGTGAAATCATGTGATATTTTCTTTCTCTCTCTCATTTTACTTAGCACAGTACCCCTAAGGTCCATCCATGTGGTCCCAAATGGCAAGATCTTATTCTTTGTTATGGTTGAATAATATTCCAGTGTGTGTGTGCGTGTCACATCTCCTTTATCCATTTAGCTATCAATGGACACTTGGGTTGCTTCCATATCTTGGCTATTGTAAATAATGCTGCAATAAATATAGGTGTGCATATATTTTTTTGAATTGGTGTTTTCATTTTCTTTGGGTAAACATCCAATACTGGATCATATGATATTTCTATTTTTAATTTTTTGAGGAATTTCCACACTGTTTTCCAGAGGCTGCCCCAATTTACATTCCCACCAACAGTGCATAGGGATTCCTTTTTTTCCCCACAACCTCACCAACATTGACTGACTTTTTGATTCTTAGTTTCTTACCTTTAAAATAATACAGAGTTGGGGATGCCTGGGTGGCTCAGTTGGTTGAGTGTCTGACTTTAGCTCAAGTCATGATCTAGGGTTCATGGGTTTGAGCCCTGTGTCAGGCTCGCTGTTGTCAGTGAGGAGCCTGCTTTGGATCCTCTGTTCACCTCTCTCTCTGCCCCTCCCCCCTCACACTCTCCCTCTGTCTCAAAAATAAACAAAACATTAAAAAATTAAAAAAAAATAATACAGGGTTGTTATGACAGGCAAATGTAGTGCCATGAGCAGAAAAAAAAAAAAAAACAGCTAACCTTCACTGAGTTCTTACTACAAGTATAACAAAACAAAACACTGTTCTAAGGGTTTAAAATGCATACATTTACTTATTCTTCAAAATAATCTGTGATAAACTGGATTCTAGAAAGCTCTCATGGTTTTCATCCCTGGTGTTACTTCTGTGATTATGTTACATGATGTGATAAAAGGGACTTTGAAGATGTGATTACATGACTAAGCAGTTGACCTGGAGATAGGATTATCTAGGTAGGCCTGGATATTATAATCACATAATCCCATGGGCCCTTTAAAGCAAAAAGTTTTCTCTGGCTGTTGGTAAAAGAAATCAGAGAGATTTAAAGTATGAGACGGGCTCAACTTGATTGCTGCTTTAAAGATGGGAGGGGTCACATAAAAAGAAGCCTGGGCAGCCTCAAGGAGCAGGGGGCGGCTGGGCTGACAACCAACCAGGAGGCAAGGACCTCAGACCTACGCCACAAGGAACTGGGTTTGGAAGTGGATTCTTCCCAGGGCCCAGAGATAAGAGTCCAGCTGGCTGCATATTGGTTTCAGCCTTGTGAGATCCTATGCAGCAGAGAACGCAGTTGAACCCACTCCCAGAACTATGAGATGATCCATGGGTGTTGTTTTAAGATGCTAAGTTGTGAGAGCAATAGAAAACAAATCCAAACCATATGCAGTAGCTACCTTTATTATTTGCCTAATTTGTAGATGCCTAAAGCAAAGCACAGAGAAGTGAAGTCACTTGTCCGAAGTCTCACAGCTGTTAAATATCAGAAGTGGGATTTAGTAGTCTATCCCCAGAGCCCATGCTCCAACCCAGCGACACAGTGCCTGAGCCATTTGTAGGTACTCAATGCATATTAGTTTCCCTTCCCTTTTCTTTTTAGTGTAGCCCACAGGGCACCTAGCTGCCACATTTCTTAATTTTGCTGATGTGGGTTAGCTGGTGCTGTGCCAATGGGATTCTGGATATAGAATACTTGGAGCATTAGTTTTACTCATTGGAGTAGGTCTTTTTATATTGTAACAAACCTGACTGAATATTTCATAGGCTAAAATGAAAAAAGATAAAACTAGAGATTTCAAAGAAAATTTGCTTTTGATAATCTCTTTACTGTGAAAAATAGTTGACTGCAAAAGTTGGAGAAGCACTGAACTGATGCATTCAAACTAATTTAGTTTAACACCTTTCCTTCCCGTTTCATTTCCTAAATCCAGTGACTTTGCTGTACCAGCTAGAGTTCTGGAATCTGAATCCGGAAATCTACATCTAGCTATTCATCACCATCCACCCAGCTATCCATCTTCTATTCATTCAGTCAAACAAGATTTACAGAGTCCTTCTATAATGCCTGAAGTGTCTCTAATAAAATGTGACTTGTGAAGTAATACAAACTTTTCTAGTTCTGCTTCCTTGCGTAGAACATCAGGTGATTTGACAAACTTTCCTTAGGGTCTCTGTCTATGGCCAATCAATCTGTTGCTTTTACAGTTCGGGTGTGCCCCGACTTCTGGATTTGCTAAGGTAGGGCAGTGCTTCTCAAAATCCATCCTGGGCACCACCTGCATCAGAATCCCCTGGGGTGCCTAATAAAAAAGCAGGTCCTGAGGTTGCCCCAAACCTTCTGAATCAGAAACACCGGGAGTGGGGGCCCAGGACTTTTGGTTTTAAACAAGTCCTCCAGGTTATTGCTATGCACACTAAAGTTTGAGATGTACAGCTATAAGGATGCAACACAGGCCTTGTGTCCTAAAAGTATCTCCCTTATTAAAAGACAACAAGCCTTATAGGTTTGGGGGGAAAAAAAAAACCCAAAACAGGATCACACCTGTCTGTGTGTCTCCTGCCTTCACCATCCCTTTTCACCCTAACCCCTCACCCCAGCCAAGGCCAGGGAAGGAGCTGTGACTGTGATTATGGAGCGGATGTAGCCCAGCTCCCGTGCCTACAAAGTCACTTTTCCCCTTCTGGGCTACCCCTGCCTGCTCCATTCAATAACAGGGGTTAATGTGAGGAGTGGGCGTCCCTCCTCCCAGGCTCTGGAGCCCTTCCCTTCCCCAAAGGGAGGGTGGGGCTGGCGCGTGCCGGTGGGGGAGCCCCTCTGGGCAGCTCGCGCCTTGCAGCAGCTACTCGCCCCGGTCAGTCAGCGGCCCGAGGCAGCCGCCTTTCCCACCCCGGTTCGCGTCGAGGAGGGGGAAACTGGAGAACTAGGTCATCCTGGCCCTCCTCCCGAAGCCGACCCTCCCGGCCGTCGCCTGCCGGTCTCCAGCCGCGCGGGGCCGCCGGAGTGGCCTGGCAGGTGCCTGCGCAGCGGTGCTGTGCCCGCCCGCTGCCCTTGCCCGCGCGCTCCGCCCGTCCTGCGGCGCCGTTGGCCCTCCCGCCACCCCCTCGGCGGGGCCCTTCCCTTTACTATGGTAATGGTGACATTCAGCGGGAAAGGCTAGCGCGGACCGCAGCGCCCGGCTCCCGCGCCGCGGGAGGCTCGGTCGGCGGAGCGGGCTGCGGCGGCCGGGCAGC